CTCCCTGCCAAATGGATTGAAGTATGTGTTTGTATGAATGATTACTTGGACAACATTGAAAAGATACAAAATTGTGCTTCACTTGAAAGACCACTTCTACTCGTCGAAGTAAATGAGGAGACATAATTGAAGTAGATGAGGGTGATATTAAAGAGTTATAAAATTCACCTTAGATTTTAGATAAACTCATAAAATTAGATTTCATGGAGAGAACCGATTTCGCGACTATAAATATTTGTATTTTTCATTTTCTACGTGAAATTAACGTACTTTTAACATTGTTGCATTTTTCGACTAGTATTTCAAAACCAAAAATAGTACAAGTATTTATATGGTTGGAGCTAAATTAGAATTTTCAAAAAAAGAAAATCAAATTTTTAGCGGATAAACCGAAACCTATTTTTTTAAAAATTGGATAATCCGAATTCGATTACATCGAATATCCGATCTATTCCAAAAAAATCCAGTCAAAATTGACTCGGACTTAACCGAATCTGACAACCCAAAAAACCGGTCATAACCGAACTAGATTTAAGAAAATAAGAGTAATGGTTTTGCTTAGAGAAATTAAATATTCTCCTACTTTTCTTTCCAATTATCTTACTATCCATTTGAAATGACGATAAATGTTCAAAAATATAATTAATTTTATCAAAATATGACACGTGTCCATATGGGTAGGAAGATATATGGAAGGAAATTTAATTTCTCTTTTGTTTATAACCGTGTTGATATGCACCTCAACATCTGGTATGGCGCGTCGTTAGTTCTCGCTTGGTAATAACTTTTATATAATTCAATTAATTTTAAATATATATTTGGCCTATTATTATATATATATATATATATTATATATATATATATATATATATATTAAAATTATGAAAGATTTTAACAGTGACACATTTTTTTTGTCAATTTTGGTCCTCCAACTTACAACATTGACCCTTCATCTTTATGCTTTTGTTCACAAACAACCCTTTCACTTTGGTTTGAATTTTTCATAACCCTCTTTTTTTATTACATATTATTAGTATTTAGTCTTTTGGCAGAAATGGTCCCTCATCATTATTATTATTATTGTTAGACAAAATTACACGATTGGTCCTTGTGGTTTATCAGATTTAACATTCTCTTTTTGGTTTTAAATTAATGTTTTATTTATTAGAAAATACTCACCCAATACCATAAACCCACCCACCATCTGCCATCACCACCACCACCACCACCGCCAAAATTACACAAATGGTCCATATGGTTTACCCATGGTGACAAATTCAGTCCCTACTACCTGAAAAGACCAAATTACTCTCACATTAACGGACAAAAAACAACCAACATGCTACTTTACTTTACAAAGCAATACCTTCCGACCCCGGCAACGCCGGGGAATCTTTTCTAGTTATTATTATTATTATTATATATATATTAAAGTTATGAAAGATTTTAACAGTAAAGTGACATTTGTCAATTTTGGTCCTCCAACTTACAACATTGACCCTTCACCTTTATGCTTTTGTTCACAAACAACCCTTTCACTTTGGTTTGAATTTTTCATAACCCTCACCTTTTATTACATATTATTAGTATTTAGTCTTTTGGCAGAAGTGGTCCCTCGTCATTATTATTATTATTGTTAGACAAAATTACACGATTGGTCCCTGTGGTTTATCAGATTTAACATTCTCTTTTTGGTTTTAAATTAATGTTTTATTTATTAGAAAATACTCACCCAATATCATAAACCCACCCACCATCTGCCATCACCACCACCACCACCACCGCCAAAATTACATAAATGGTCCATATGGTTTACACATGGTGACAAATCAGTCCCTACTACATGAAAATACCAAATTACTCTCACATTAACGGACAAAAAGCAACGGTATATATTTTCCGGATTGGTTTTCTGACCGCTGTCATACATGGCAATAAAGTTCAATTTGTGAGACCATTTTTTTATTTTCATCATTTATTGCAAGAAATAATGATTTAGATTTCTTTACTTATGTAATTAGATGACATTGTTTATCTTCATTTACTAGATTATCTCAATGCAATTCAACATGCTACTTTACTTTACAAAGCAGTACCTTCCGACCCCGGCAACACCGGAGAATCTTTTCTAGTATACATAAAATAACAACAAACAACACAAGCTTAATGCCTTAATCCCAAAACTTTTAGCAGACTTTTCACTAAAGAAGGCAATATCTATGCTTTCTTAATGTAGGCGACATGTTGACGGTTATAAAATCATTGAATAACTTTTGGCATTTTTTTTTAATTTCCAGAAAGAAAATTATATATTTCAGTAAATTATAGTTTTGGTCCATTTGGTATAATTTTTTTGCAGGTTTAGTTCTATTTTTGGAACTTTGACATATTTGAGCATTATGGTTGGCAAATCCATCACATTTGATCTTTATTTTAGTTATCGTTAATGATGTTATGTTAAATAAATACCAAAAGGAGAATTACATCTATATTTTTGTAAACTTTAATAATTACGTATATATATTTCTAAAACTTCAAATTACATGTATATCGTTATAAACCTCTCTCTCTCTCTATATATATATATATATATATATATATATAGATATATATATATATATATATATATATATATATATATATATATATAAATACTAAATTTAATCATATTTTATATATTAAAAAAATAAACACACTATCTTTAAATTGATTTTTATTATTAAAAATATAATGAAATTGTAATATTACAATATTACCCTTCTACATTACTATTATCATCATATTAAGTTTATGAATCCTTACAAAATATTGACACCCTCACTGAAATTAGTTTTTTTTTAAGTCATTTACTTGTGTAATTATAACTGAAGAACCAATTAACGAACATAACTGTTTAGAAGAGAATAATCGCACGCCTCATAAATCGATTGCAGGAGATGATCTTTATTGTTTAACAATCAAATAAAAATATGCAATCAATAGGTTTTACTAATCGATTATGTAAAATATGAAACGATAAAAAATCATGTCGTGGATAACCATATTGTGAATAAGGAGATCGATTATAGGAGTTGCAAATAATTAATTTAGTAATTTAGTTATAATTTTAATTTAAAGAAATTGTTTTTAATTTTTAAATGTATTAATTATCTTTGAATAAAGTATTAGGATATATATATGTGATTTTTATAGCTTTTATAAGGATATACATGTAATTTAAAGTTTTACAAGGATATAGACTTAATTATAAAAGTTTATAAGGATATATATGAAACTTTTCCAATATAGAATTACTAAAATGTCTTTACTTTTGTCTTTTGTTTATTTTATGTTATCTTGTTTTTAAGAATTATTATTATTAAAGAAAAAAAAATGGACCTCATTCTTAATCCTTTCCCACCGTATACCACCACTAGCATCGTATACAACTACAAACATCATTGTATAACATCAATACCATCATATTTCGCCGTAGTTGCCAATATCATTTTTCACCACATACAACTCAAAATTAGATTAAGCTACTTAGAACCTAAAATCGAAATGGGCCAAAACCTGAAAACCCAAACCCTAAAAATTGATTTCAACCCTAGAGAAGAATGAGATCGACGATACGAGGAGATTGAGATCGGCGCCAGTTTTTTACATAGGAGAAAGAGATATCAGTTGTCATAACTAGTTGAGAGAGAGAGAGAGAGATCGTGGTCGACGGTTATGTGCAACCAGCTCCACACCTGTCGTGACAATTTTGGTGGTGAAGGAGAGTGTGAGAGATAGATATGTGCAAGCGAGAACTGTCGTGACAATTTTTGTGGTGGAGAAGAGTGGGAGAGATAGATATGTGCAAGCGAGAACTATTGTGACAATTTTGGTGGTGGAGGAGAGTGTGAGAGATAGATATGTGCAAGCGATAACTGTCGTGACAATTTTGGTGGTGGATGAGAGTGTGAGAGATAGATATGTGCAAGCGAGAGAGAAGGAAGGTGAAGGTGGACGTGGAGGATAGGAGATCCATGGGGAATAGGGGTGTTCATTTGGATGGATCGGTTTGATCCAATCCAATTAAGTAAATCCAAATTGATTTCGGTTTTCAAAATATGGATCCGAATAGTCCAAACTAAAATCAAATCCGAACCGATCCGATCCAATTACAATTCGGTTGGATCGGTTTTTTTTATTCGGTTTTCAAAAACTAGAACATTTTAAAACGACATATAATTATAATATAATCCAACTTTTACAGAAGAAGTAAAAACTAATTATTTAGTTGTGATTTAAAATTTATAAAAATTACTAATAATGTATATTATAGTTTAACATTTAATGGATAAAAAACTTTTTAGAGAAAATTCATATTAATTTTTTTTATTAGGTGAAACTTTTTTAATTTATTTGAAAAAATAAATTATAAAATTAATAAATAATTTTAGATATATTAAAAATAAATAAATAATAAATTGTTATTCGGTTTTTTTGGACTATTCGTTTCTTATTTTATAATTCAAAACCAATCGAAAATCCAAAATAATATTCGGTTTTTTTGTAAACCAATCCAAAAATCCGAATATCCAAACCAAATAGTCCAATCCAAATTATCCAATTGGACAATTCAGTTTTATCCAAATAGTGAACAACCCTACCGGGGAAGGGAGTGACCTATGGTGGTTTCGATTTTCGATGTTAGCGCTATAGTTGATGGACTTAGATCTGCATAAACGAAAGAGACCAAGCATATTGAGGTCTATGGAGAAAGTAATGGGTTTTAAAGCATAATTCCAGATATTTAAAGAATTAATCACTAAAGTTTATACTAATGTAAAAAACTATAAAGACAAAAAAAAAATAATATAAATGTATAGATTTTCCAACTATGAAAATCAATGGTGTCAAATTTACAAAATCAGAACAAAAGAT